ATCCTGAGGATACTCTTCTAGAAGAGGGAACAAGTAATATTCTCTTCCCAAGTGGAAGACTGCAAATCTACTGCTGATGTCAATTATTGGAAACAGGCACCCAGCAGTATAACCGCTTCAGTATAATTCCTGAAGATAGGGTCTTGGCTGTTATAAAAGCCATAACATCAAATAGACTAAAGGATCAGTAAGCTGGCAGGAAAGGAATGGATTCAGTTCACAAGACATAGAATAATTAACGACCTTGGAGATTTCAGACAAATCAGATTTTCTATTGAAGGCAGGGATATAAATAGCACAAACAACACAGAAGAGTAGAATCAAAAGCCACCAACTCAACTTTTTGTTTGAAAACTTGTTAGGTCTAGAGAACTGTTCAAACCACAGCTGCTAATGGTTATGGATTTGGCAATCAAAATGTCTTTGTTAAAAAAAAAAGTTTTAACTGCCTTACTATTGAGGTTACAAACCACAGCCTTGATGCATTGTTGCAGTCAACATCCTCCCTGCTGTTTTTGAGAGCTTACATCTGCTGCTGGCAGATAAAATGCTGGCAAACAGCAAGGGCTCCTTCCAGGGGAATCACAGGAGAAGCTTTAATGAGATGGCTCTCATCATCTACCTTTTTACCCTGAGTTGAACCCATAGCCTTTTATGTATCACTTCTACCTTCTCTAGGATGATCCTCTGCCATTACTCAGGAGGGCTGAAGGTCTAGAGGGATTTTTTTTTTCTGGCATAAATTAGTCATGTTGGCCATACTAGTCTTAGAAGATAAAAGGAAGACTATAGTGTTCATGGCTCAGGGGAAAGCATATATCTTTTTTTCTTTCTTTCTTTCTTTTTTTGGACTTTCCACCTGTAAGCATATATCTTTTAAAGCCACTTAACAGCATAGTGCACTTGATTTTAAAACAACCACTAACAAAACCTTTTCAGTTTTCTTTTTTTTTTTCTTTTTAAGATGACTAAATGATCATACTATGCCAAAAATAGTGAGGGCTTAGTGTATTTTAATTTATCAAAGAAAGGCCAAGAATGTGAGGTCAGAAGTAAATTACTGAGTTTTTTGGGAGGAAAGAAAAGCGAACAGTATAGAGAGGCAAAATGTGGTCCAAGTCACACAGGAAGTTAGTTTCAGTTGAAATAAAAATTACTAGATCCACACTAGTTTTCAAAGAAAATGCGATTCAGCTGGGTGATAAATGAATATGGAGATATTGAAGGAAGACACAGGTTAGGAAACTACTTCCTGGATTGTTCTTTCTCAGTGAGTTGACCTATGAGAATAAAGAAAAATCAAACACATAACACTCCTAAATTGTACATACCATGATATCAGTTCTGCAGTAGGTAAATAGGTAGCACATGTGCTGGTGGGGGATTAATTTATGCTCAAAGTTTTGGGATGCATGTTATATCCACCTCTTAGAGAGCCATAATCTACACTAGTATATTAAGGGCTCTGAGATGTTCTATAGTAAACAGATCTGTTTAATCCAAAGATATTTCCCAAATTTGTGTTTCAGAGAACACCCATGCCATGGAATAGTTTGGTAAATGCTAGTCAACTGGCATTATTCCTAAACTCTCGACTCATTCATTCGGAAACAAGAATGGGGCTGGTATAACAGACTAGACAAGTACACTTTCTACATCACAGAACTCTAGCTCAAACAGACACAGGTAAACTACAGAGAGTGGTCTTGATATTTTCTAAGAGACAGCCAAATACCAAAGCTGCAACTTTTAAAAGTGATAAACTCTTTACTCAATAAATAAGACTAAAATAGGGCTAACATCAACTCTGAATAAATTCATATGCTACCCTCAAACACAGAAAAGAAACAGTAAAGATGTGGTGGCTAACACTTGTAATCCCAGCACTTTGGGAGGCTGAGGTGGGTAAATCACCTGAGGTCAGAAGTTCCAGACCAGTCTGACCAACATGGTGAAACCCCGCCTCTACTAAAAATATTAAAAAATTACCCAGGCATGGCGGCACATGCCTGTAATACCAGCTACTCAGGAAAGTAAGGCAGGAGAATCGCTTCAACCTGGTAAGCAGAGGCTGCAGTGCGCTGAGATCACAACACTGCACTCCGGCCTGGGCAAGAGAGAGAGACTCTGTCTCAAAACCAGAAAAACAAAACAAACAAACAGACAAACAAACAAACAAAAAACAGTGGAAAAAAGCTACAGAAAAGCTGACCATAGGGAAAATGGGTAAAATGGGTATGGCATTCCCATATCCGATGAAGCCTAGTGGCTTCTGGCTTCTGGTATATTTTAATGTTACATATCAGAGACATTCAAAAAGAGAGTTGCCAGCACCTCCAGCTGGGAACATCTGGGAGGATTCCTGCACTTCTACATGCTGTCTGCAGCAATCTCAGGACAAGAGACAGAATATAAGCTCAAGGAGAAGTATCATGAAAAAGAGTTATCCTTCAGAAACCAACAAGACTTGTTTTAATTAGATTTCTAAGTCCTATAACCCTTATGATAGATCCGGATTATAGTTTCCTACCCTTCTCTACACAAATTTGTGGCACAAAGAAGACTGGCTGTCTAGAGACTGAAATCATTTGACCTTGTATCAGGTGGTGGTTTGCTTAATCAATAGATGAGAAAATAAGGCAAGGCCCCTTGCCAAAAACCATCATCCACACTGCCATATGCCCCTGGGTTCTATTTTAGAACACAAATACATATCTCAGGAAGAAAACAGAATGCAGTATGTTACACTATGCTGTTAATGACTATGAGTCTCTAAAACTGTAAAGCCTACCAATGTAAGATATTTTTATAATACTACTTCTAGACTTGGGGATGGGGGGAAAAAAGGGAGGAGGGAGGAAGAAAGTAGACATTGAAAAAAAATGGGCAAAGGCTCAGACGGATAGCCCAGCCTCCACGTGTCTATGGTTTTACCTGGATCTGGATCAGATACTAAGAGAAGAATAAAAGGCTAGAATTCAAAATTCACACCAAAATGCATGCATTGTACTCACATAATCAGAGAAGATCGAGCAGGTAACCCACAAGAAAATGAAAGACACAAATATAGACGGATAACAAGTGTTAGCCAGGCACGGTAAGCCCAGGAGGCAGAGGCAGTGAGCCAAGATTGGCACTCCAAGATTGGCACTCCAGCCTGGGTGATACAGTGAGACCCTGTCTCCAAAAAATAAATAAATAAATAAATAAGAGTAAAGAACAGAGAGGGTGAAATGGCTGGGAATAGTAAAGGAAAAAAGTAGACAGTAACGAGAGTAATGAAAGGTAAGAAAGTCTGAAAAACAGAATTTGCTGAGATAAATGAAACTGAAGCACTTTTTCTTCAGCACAGTGGTGGAGGCCCTATTATCTAAAGTAACTGTTCAGAGAACAGGAAAACCATACTGTTAGGTAAGACTCTTCGTGCTTCCAGGATGGACTTTTCTCATTTTGGATTTCTGCCAGTTCTGAGTCTAAACATAAGGGTCCTATGTTTCAGGAATTTTCTAATTAAGTTAAAGTCTTTCAGCTCCCTCTGCTGTTCAAACATGTACTATAGTTATGTCGGTTCAATTTTATTTTATTTTATTTTTTTTGAAATGGAGTCTCGCTCTGTCGCCTAGGCTGGAGTGCAGTGGTGTGATCTTGGCTCACTGAAACCTCTGCTACCAGGTTCAAGTGATTCTCCTGCCTCAGTGTCCCGAGTAGCTAGGATTACAGGTGCCTGCCACCACACCTGGCTAATTTTTTTTTTGTATTTTTAGTTGAGATGGAGTTTCACCATGTTAACGGTCTCGATCTCCTGACCTTGTGATCCACCCACCTCGGCCTCCCAAAGTGCTGGAATTACAGGCATGAAGCACAACACTGGTCTTTTTCTTTTTGAGAGTTTCGCTCTGTTACCCAGGCTGGAGTGCAGTGGCATGATCTCAGCTCACTACAACCTCCACCTCCCAGATTTAAGCTGTTCTGCCTCAGCCTCCTGAGTAGCTGGGATTACAGGTGTGTGCTACCACACCTGGCTAATTTTATGTGTGTGTGTGTGTGTGTGTGTGTGTGTGTGCACGTGCGCGCGCACGTATATATATATATATATTATTTTTTTTTTTTTTTTTACACGGAGTTTTGCTCTTGTTGCCAGGCTGGAGTACAGTGGCATGATCTTGGCTGAGTGCAACCTCTGCCTCCTGGGTTCAAGTAATTCTCCTGTCTCAGCCTCCCAAGTAACTGGGATTACAGTCGCCCACCACCACACCCAGCTAAATTTTTGTATTTTTAGTAGACGCAGGGTTTCATCACGTTGGCCAGACTGGTCTCAAACTCCTGACCTCAGGTGATCCACCTGCCTCAGCCTCCCAAAGTGCTGGGATTACAGGCATGAGCCACTGCACCAGGCCAATTTTTGTATTATTAGTAGAGGCAGGGTTTCACCATGTTGGTCAGGCTGACCTCGAATTCCTGACCTCAGGTGATCCACCTGCCTTGGCCTCCTAACGTGTGGGGATTACATGCAAAAGCAACCATGCCTGGCCTGTCAGTTCAATCTTTAGTGACCCAAATAAAATGTATAAATACATACATATGTATATTCATATATAAATACACAAACCTCCTCCCAAGTATGGCATAGTAGTCATGGCAATCAGAGTCAAATATATTTGCCCATCATAAGTTCAATAGCCTGGACCAAAATCTCCAGAATTAGCAATAACAGATCCTACTATTCCCACCCCCTAATTAAAATAATTCAAGGAATAATCAAGGGTTTCTGCAAGGTTTTTGTAAGGGATGAAGACCCTATACTTGTTAACTGGAATATGACAATGGCTTTTTATACAGAAATTTATATGCACCACGCTGGGTGTGATGGCTTATATCTATAATCCCAGCATTTTGAGATGCCAAGGTGGGAGGATCACTTGAGGTCAGGAGTTCAAGACCAGCCTGGCCAACATGGCGAAACCTCGTCTCTACTTAAAGAAAAAAAGTACTCTACTTACCTGCTCCTTAAATTGCTTCTGGGACAAGCAGTCAATTAGGTCCACACAGCCCAGTAGACAACCTGATGGATAGTCATTAGGAAATTCCACATCTGAATCAGGAATAACAAAAGGATTGAATAAATGTCCTTCTTTGTGATCTTGGACCTCAGGAATCTGTTTTCAATTCTGAACAAATGTTAATAACTTTTTCCATTATCTATTTGTAGACATAAGAAAAACAGTGAGATTTACTTGGCACAACTATTGTATTTTAGCAAAAAAATCTAGTGATTGGCTCACTTAGGCCATTATCTACATGCTAAGCTAGAAAAGTTTTCCTTTGCCCTCATACCATCAAAGTTCAAGGACCCCAGAAACTCATTCTAAACAAATCAATTCTACTGTATGCAATTTTATCAGATTGGAGTTTGGTAGTGATGAGTTTTGGAAGCAAAGAAAGGCAGTTACAGATGACAAGGAAAAAAAAATTAAAATGTGGTTAAAACCATAAAAATAAATGTCTTTAAAACAAGCCAGTGATATCAATCGAAATAGAAATGTGGTTTTAGGCTGGGTGAGGTGGGTCACATCTGTAACCCCAGCACTTTGGGAGGCCAAGGCAGGCGGATCACTTCAGGTCAGAGTTCAAGACCAGCCTCAGCCAACATGGTGAAACCCTGTCTCTACTAAAACTACAAAAAATTAGCTGGGCATGGTGGCACGTGCCTGTAATCCCAGCTACTCAGGAGGCTGAGGCAGGAGAATTGCCTGAACCCAGGAGGCGGAGGTTGCGGTGAGCCGAGATCGTGCCATTGCACTCCAGCCTGGGTAACAAGAGCGAAACTCCGTCCCAAAGAAAAAAAAAAAAAAAGTCCCTTTCAACGAAGAAAAAGCCAAAGGAAGAAGGAATTGAAAGAAGATGAATGTCAATGACTTCTCTCCACAAAGTAAAATTGAAAGAAGAACATACAACTGTTACCTTTCCCACGAAGAAGACGATATGTAGCCTGGAGTTCTGAGACTTCTTGAGGAGAGGGTTTTTTGGCTGTGGCTGCTATCCAAAGTCGTCCTCTGTGGGGAGTGTACCAGGATCTGCCCTCTACCCTTAAACAAACACACATTAGTGGGAGTGATCTAAATTCCAGTTTCCTGGAAGATCCCATGATATATAACAAATCTTATAGCAAATTATCCAGTTGAACCAAGAGGTCTGTAGATGATGCCTTACCAGGAAGGATATTTTTTGTCAAAAACACTTTTCTCTCACAATACCTTTCACTTGAGGATGAACTCTGTCCACTAATTTCTTCTATATCAGAATAACGATAAGTCATCTCTCTCAACCCCTGCCTGCTTTTCACCTGATCCCTACAACTCAGACTTGGAGCCCTCACCAGTTTTGGTGCTTCTATAATACAAATCCTATATTTTCTCTTTCTCTTTCTCTTTCTCTCTCTCTCTCTCTCTCTCTCCCTCCCCCCCTTCCCTCCTCCCTCCCTCCTTTCCTTCCTTCTTTTTCTTCCTTCCTTTTCTTTCTTCCTTCCTTCTTTTTCTATCTATCTATCTATCTATCTATCTAATTTGAGACTGAGTTTCAATTTTCTTGCCCAGGCTGGAGTGCAGTGGTGCTATCTTGGCTCACTGCAACCTCCACCTCTGGGGTTCAGGCAATTTTCCTGCCTCAGCCTCCCGAGTAGCTGAGATTACAGGTATGCACCAGCACACCTGGTTAATTTTGTATTTTTAGTAGAGACGGGATTTCTTCATGTTGGTGATGCTGGCCTCAAACTCCCGATCTCCGGTGATCTGCCCACCTCAGCTTCCCAAAGTGCAGGGATTACAGGCATGAGCCACCACACCCAGCACAAATCCTATAAATTCAAGGCATATAAGTCATCCCAGAGATATGGAAATCCTTGCCCTTGAGTCAAAGGCTAAACTTTTCCTGGAAGATTAGTTGATTTGTTCTCCAATCTAACAGAAAAATCCTCACCTACACAAAACTCCCAAGAATGTTACTTTTTATTATTTACAATAATTTAAGTAAATAAAAACGCTTTCACTCTTTTAATTAGAACCACACCCATTTACATTTTTTAACTGTATTCAGGGTTTTCTTGGTGGATTATTAAACAACTTGTGGACTAGTTTGAAAGAACCTGTAAGGAGAATAACAGCATGCATTCAGAATTTAACTGCTACTTTCCAAGGGTTATAAAAAGATGTTTGTTACTCCCTCCCACCAAATTATATAAGGTACCTTGATAATATAACCCTCCCATCCCATTCTTTTTTTTTTTTTTTTTGAGACAGAGTTTCGCTCTCGTTACCCAGGCTGGAGTGCAATGGCGCGATCTCGGCTCACCGCAGCCTCTGCCTCCTGGGTTCAGGCAATTCTCCTGCCTCAGCCTCCTGAGTAGCTGGGATTACAGGCACGCGCCACCATGCCCAGCTGATTTCTTGTATTTGTAGTAGAGACGGGGTTTCACCATGTTGACCAGGATGGTCTCGATCTCTTGACCTTGTGATCCACCTGCCTCGGCCTCCCAAAGTGCTGGGATTACAGGCGTGAGCCACCATGCCCGGCCCCCATCCCATTCTTATAGTGGAAAATGGGGTTATTAATTTTTCATATACTTGGATTTTCAACACAAATATATTGGAAGAGTGCCAGGCTTATAGTAGGTGCATGATATGGGGAATGAACCAACGTATGTCTTCCCTCTGCACCAAATAATCTGAAGAATTACTGGGAAAATGATTCCACAAATGTGGCAAAACCACCTGCTTTATTTCTGTGGGATTAAAATAAAGTGACTATGCACTAGATGCTGCTCACGCTGCTCGCTTCTGTGAGAAAATTTGAATACCAGATCCAAAATAGAATGAGAGAAATGTAAATACTCTGATTCCCTTAGCAGAAGGCAAGTTGTTTAGTTTTCTACTTTGGAAAAGGAAGACACCTAAATTGCAGAAAACTCAGTGAGAACAGACATCTAAGGGTTTGATCATCCTGGAGCAGAAGTGGATTTCCATGCACTTCTCTAATGGCACTTACAGACATGAACTATGAAATAATTAGGAGCCAAAGCAAGAACTGACCTTCAGGATGGGAGAAACGGTGTAGCGGACCTTAATAAAGTAGAGAAATGGCAGCTAATAGTAAAACTACCAAAGTAGAAATGACTATGCCTAAATGCTGATAATCATTTGTCAAGTAATATCTGAAACATGAACAGTAGAGAGGAAAGAGCACTTTGAAAACCTGAACTCTAGTTCCATCTCTGTCACTAACTAGCTTCATATTTTACCTTTGCCTGCTTCAATATCCTCATTTGCCAAAGATTGTGATAATACTGGCCTAATCTACAGTCACATCTTGCTTAACAATGGGAATATGTTCTGAAAAATGTGTCTTTAGGCAATTTCAGATGGTATAACCTGCTATGCACCTGGGCTATGGTATAGCCTCTTTTTTTTTTTTCTGAGATGGAGTTGGATTCTTGCTGCCCAAGCTGGAATACAATGGTGCGATCTCGGCTCACTGCAACCTCCACCTCCCAGGTTTAAGTGATTCTCCTGCCTCAGCCTCCCAGCTAGTTGGGATTAGAGGCACGCAACACCATGCCCAGCTAAATTTTTTTTCTGTATTTTTAGTAGAGATGGTGTTTCGCCATGTTGGCTAGGCTGGTCTCGAACTCCTGACCTCAGGTGATCTACCCACCTTGGCCTCCCAAAGTGCTGGGATTATAGGCATGAGGCGCTGTGTCCGGCAGCCTCTTGTTCTTAAATTACAAACTTGTACAGCATGTTACTGTACAGAATACTGTAGGCAATTGGAACACAGTGATAACTATTTGTATATCGAAATATATCTAAACATAGAAAAGGTACAATAAAGGATGGGCACAATGGCTCACACCTATAAATCCCAGCACTTTGAGAGGTGGAGGCTGGTAGATCACCTGAGGTCGGGAGTTTGAGACCAGCCTGGCTAACAGGGCAAAACTCCATCTCTATTAAAAATAAAAAAATTAGCTGGGTGTGGTAGCACACGTCTGTAATCCCAGCTACTCAGGAGGTTGAGGCAGGAGAATTGCTTGAACCTGGCAGGTGGAGGTTGCAGCAAGCTGAGATCATGCCATTGCACTGCAGCCCGGGCAACAGAGTGAGATTCTGTCTCAAAAAAAGAAAAAAAATGTACAGCAAAAATAGATATTATAATCTTTTTTTCCCTTTTCTCTTTTTTTTTTTTTTTTTTTTTGAGACGGAGTTTCGCTCTGTTATACAGGCTAGAATGCAGTGGCATAACCTCTGCTCACTGCAACCTCCACCTCCAGGTTTAAGCGATTCTCCTGCCTCAGCCTTCTGAGTAGCTGGAACTATAGGCAAGTGCCACCACAACTGGCTAAATTTTTTGTATTTTTGGTAGAGACGGGGTTTCACCATGTTAGCCAGGATGGTTTCAATCTCCTGACCTCATGATCTGCCCAACTCAGCCCAAAGTGCTGGGATTACAGGTGTCAGCCACACTGCACCTCAGTGCCTGGCTAATTTTCTGTATTTTAAGTAGGGATAGGGTTTCATCGTATTGGTCAGGCTGGTCTTGAACTCCTGACCTGAAATTATCCACCTGCCTCAGCCTCCCAATGTGCTGGGATTACAGGTGTGAGCCACTGAGCCCAGCCTAATTTCTCTACACCATCAGCAACTTTATTGGTTGATTGAGTTTCACTCTTATTGCCCAGGCTGGAGTGCAATGGTGCGAGCTCAGCTCACTGCAACCTCCACCTCCCATGTTCAATCGATTCTCCTTTCTCAGCCTTTTGAGTATCTGGGATTACAGGTGCCTACAACCACACCCGGCTAATTTTTTGCATTTTTAGGAGAGGTGGGGTTTCACTATGTTGGCTAGGCTGGTATTGAACTCCTGACCTCAGATGATCCACCTGCCTTGGCCTCCCAAAGTGCTGCGATTACAGGTGTGAGCCACCACCTTATTTATTTATTTTTTGGGGATAAGTTCCCTCTCTGTAGCCCAGGCTGCAGTGAGGTGGCGTGATCTGAGATCACTGCAGCTTCTACCTCCCAGGCTCAAGTGATTCTCCCACCTCAGCCTCCTAAGTAGCTGGGACAACAGACACGCATCACCACACCTGGCTGATTTTTTGTATTTTTGGCAGAGATGAGGTTTCACCATGTTGCCTAGGCTGGTCTTGAACTCCTTGGCTCAAGTGATTTGTTCTCCTCAGCCTCCCAAAGTACTGGGATTACAGGTGTGAGCCACTATACCTTATTTTTATTTTTTTGAGATGGAGTCTTGCTCTGTCCCCAGGCTGGAGTGTAGTGGTGTGATCTCAGCTCATTGTAACCTCCACCTCCCAGGTTCAAGTGATTCTCTTGCCTCAGCCTCCACAGTAGCTAGGACCATAGGTGCTCGCCACCATGCCTAGCTAATGTTTGTATTTTTAGTAGAGATGGGATTTCACCATGTTGGCCAGGATGGTCTCAATCTCTTGACCTTGTGATCTGCCTGCTATGGCTTCCCAAAGTGCTGGGATTACAGGTGTGAGCCACTGCACTGGCCTATTTTTATTTTTAATTATAGCCAACCTACTGGGTATGACATGGTGTCTCATGGTAATTTTGATTGACATTTCCCTAATTACCAAAGATGTTAGTATTGTTTCTTGTGCTTATTGGCCTTATATTTACATTTATTTATTTTTTGGTAAAAAATCTATTCAAGTTATTTGCCCATTATCCAGCACACGACTATATTTCATAGAGCTACTGCTTTGAAAACTGAAATTCTATTTAAGTATAAGATATTTTTACTGTTATGAGTTGGGACATTGACAGGTATATAAAATTCTAATAGAAAAAAATAAGAAGGAAAATAAAATATGTTGTAATGATACATGAAAGAAGAAAAACACGAACACATATATCATGCTCTCACCCTAAAACAATTTACACAAGACAAGCAGAAATGGCCAGGTGGGTGGTGGCTCACACCTGTACTCCCAGCACTTTGGGAAGCCCAGGTGGAGTGGATCACTTGAGGTCGGGAGTTAGAGACCAGTCTGACAAACATGGAGAAATCCCATCTCTACTAAAAATACAAAATTAGCCAGGTATGGTGGCACATGCCTGTAATCCCAGCTACTCAGGAGGCTGAGGCAGGAGAATAACTTGAACCAGAGAGGCGGAGGTTGCGGTGAACCAAGATTGCACCATTGTACTCCAGCCTGGGCAACGAGAGCGAAACTCAGTCTCAAAAGAAAAATAGAAACACTCCAAAATGCTAATAATAGCTGTTTCTTGGTGTGGGATTCTAGGTAATCTTTCTAGTTACTTTTCTGTACTACTTTATAGTTTTCTATTTACATGTGTAAGAAAAGCAAAGGAAAACACTATCTTTAAAAACTGAATTAAGAAAAGACACAAGAAACCATGGAATAGTAAGCTATTAAATAATCATCATTAACAGGTGTAACTCAGCTCCATAATACCTCTACTTATCTCAGTTTCCCCTACTTTTGTAGGAAAGGATTTTGTGATGAAATAGTTTCTCAATATTATTAGCCAGATTAATAGATATACAGATAGAAAAACAAAATCAAGTATGCTGGTATCTTAATAAGTAAATAAGCATCAAAACTATATTTCAAATAGGATCAAATTATTAAGGTTGCTGAGTAGTATATTACAAGGACAAGACCAAGATAAGTTTTTCCAATAGATTTGCTTCCAAAGATGAAAAAATTGGTCTTCTATATTTGTTATGACTTGGTTCATTAGCCTTTTTAAGCTCAGTTTTTTTTTTTTTTTTTTTGAGACGGAGTTTCGCTCTTGTTACCCAGGCTGGAGTGCAATGGCGCGATCTCGGCTCACCGCAACCTCCGTCTCCTGGGTTCAGGCAATTCTCCTGAGTAGCTGGGATTACAGGCACGCGCCACCATGCCCAGCTAATTTTTTGTATTTTTAGTAGAGACGGGGTTTCACCATGTTGACCAGGATGGTCTCGATCTCTTGACCTCGTGATCCACCCGCCTCGGCCTCCCAAAGTGCTGGGATTACAGGCTTGAGCCACTGCGCCCGGCCCTCAGTTTGTTTTTTAAGCTATTCAGTACAAAAACTACTACTACTATATTTGTCAATTTAAAATTAATTTTAAAATATACCACTATCAAGTCAGTAACACGAATATGTTGTTTAAAGTTCTATTTATCAGCCAGGTGCAGCAGCTCAAGCCTGTAATCCCAGCACTTTGGGAAGCCAATGCAGGTGGATCATGAGGTCAGGAGTTCAAGACCCGCCAGGCCAACATGGTGAAACTAAAAATACAAAAAATTAGCCAAGCGTGATAGCACACAGCTGTAATCCCAGCTACTCTGGAGGCTGAGGCAGGACAATCACCTGAACCCAGAAGGCAGAGATTGTGGTGAGCAGAGATCATGCCATTGCACTCCAGCCTGGGTGACAGAGCAAGACTCCATCTCAAAAAAAAAAAAAAAAAAAAAAAGTTCTATTTATTGAAGAGTATTATAAATCACTACTTTTTGAGGAAAACTAATTCCAATCCATATTTCTAAATTAAATTTATGTCACTCCAAGATCTTCCATTGCCCAGATTCGTTTTCATTCTTACCTTTTAATCCCTCTGACAAGCAGAGAAGCCCAGGGCTGATGTATAGAGAGGCACCAGCCACCGTCAAAGCCTTCCTGAAATTCTTGATCCTGGATTCGCAACTGGTGCTGAAATGAATTGAACTCTAGTCCCAATCCTGATGAACGGAAAGCCTTCTTCTGTGAGGCTGCACCTGTGTGGTCAACCCACTACACAGAAAAACAAGCATACAGTTCTGTCTTTTAAGGGAAGAATCTGGGGTAGGTGGCCAAAATGACACACATGCTAATAATGAGGAAATCATACTGGGAACTTTTCTTAGCAAAATATATCCCAGTCTGGGCATGATGGTTCATGCCTGTAATCCCAGCACTTTGGGAGGCAAGGCGGGTGGATCACTTGAGATCAGGAGTTAGAAGCCAGTCTGGCCAACATAGTGACACTCCATCTCTACTAAAAATACAAAAATTAGCTGGGCGTGGTGGTGGATGCCCATAATCCCAGCTACTTGAGAGGCTGAGGCAGGAGAATTGTTTGAACTCAGGAGGTGGGGTATGCAGTGAGCCAAGATCACGCTACTGCACTCCAGCCTGGGCAAGAAAGCGAGACCCTGTCTCAAAACAACATCAACAAACAAAAAATACATCCCATCTTTGTCTGGAATAAGGCTAGAAGGGTAGAAACAGTATAAATTCAGTAGAAGTCCCAGGTATGATAACAAGATTCCATCTTAAAGGATAATTAGAATGTTGAAATCTCCATAACAATGCTTCCAAATTCCAGCAACAGCACAACTATCAGACCAAAAGAACTGTAATTATTTCTACTTTATATGTAATGATCCATACTTGGTTCTGGATAATTTTTCAATAGAATTCTGTGAGCTAACTGAAGCTTTAACATTTTGTTCCACAATTCTGTATATGCTTAGGGGCAGTGTCACATGCCGATACCATGACAAAGCCAAACAGATGCTGTGAGAGGCAGCAGTTCTGACTACTGGATGCATGAAATAGTGTCCTACCCTGAAATGAACAACTTGCTTCCTGAAAGAGGGGATGGAGGACTGCTAAAACAAGGTTCCCAGCATGTAAAATGAATAGAGAATTATAAGGTACAGGTAATTACAGGAGAGTGAAGATTCTTGGCAACAGTTCAGACAGAGAATGACAAAGGTTAATGTTTCTTCCAGAGCAACAAGACCATATGCTCCAAAATAAAAGTTTAAAAATAAAGGCAATTAGCATGATGATGTTTGGGGTTGTCTTAATTTTTAAAAATGTAATATTTATAAAGCTGGACACAGTAATGCATGCCTGTAGCTTCACTAGCCACTCAGGAGGTGAGGCAGGAGGATCACTTGAGCCCACAAGTTCAAGGCCAGCCTGGGCAACATGGTAAGATCTTGTGTCTTTAAAAATAATAATAAGGGTTTTCCTCAGCTGCCACCAAGGTGCTTGGTCCTTCCAAGCTAAGGCCGCATTGGGGTGAGGCCCTTACTTCATCCAGCAACTAGCACCACGTCTGGCAGTGCTAGCCCCACACTCACCCGCACGATGGCCTCCTCTACTACCAAGCTCGCTTACATCTACTCGGCCCTTATTCTGCACGACTATAAGGTGACCGTCCTCTTAAGGAAGATAAGATCAATGCCCTTATTAAAGCAGCCAGTATAAATGTTGAACCTTTTGGTCTGGCTTGTTTGCAAAGGCCTTCTGTAAGGGTTGCAATGTGGGGGCTGGTGGACCTGCTCCAGCAGCTGGTGCTGCACCAGCAGGAGGTCTTGCCCCCTCCACTGCTGCTGCTCCAGCCGAGGAGAAGAAAGTGGAAACAAAGAAAGAAGAATCCGAGGAGTCTGATGATGACATGGGCTTTGGTCTTTTTGATAAAACCTCTTTTATAATGTGTTCAATAAAAAGCTGAACTTTAAAAATAATTATTTATAATTATTAAAATATTTATAATTAATAATGATAATTATTATTTATAATAATAATAATATGGGCCAGGCATGATGGACAATGTCTATAATCCCAGGCCTCGGGGAGGCCAAGGCAGGAGGATTGCCTGAGCCCAGGAGTTGACCAACCTGGGCAACATGACAAAATTCTTTCTGTACAAAATATACACAGATTAGCAAGTTATGATGGCACGTGACTACTTTAGTCTGAGCCATTTGAGGTTGAGGCTGCAGTGAGCTGTGATCTAGCTTGGATGACAGAACAAGATCCGGTTTCAAAAATAAATAAAAAAGAAAATAGGCCGGGCGCGGTGGCTCAAGCCTGTAATCCCAGCACTTTGGGAGGCCGAGGCGGGTGGATCACGAGGTCAAGAGATCGAGACCATCCTGGTCAACACGGTGAAACCTCGTCTCTACTAAAAATACAAAAAACATTAGCTGGGCATGGTAGCGCGTGCCTGTAATCCCAGCTACTCAGGAAGCTGAGGCAGGAGAATTGCCTGAACCCAGGAGGCGGAGGTTGTGGTGAGCCGAGATCGCACCATGGCACTCCAGCCTGGGTAACAAGAGCGAAACTCCGTCCCAAAAAAAAAAAAAGAAAATATAATAAATTACAGAAAAAACTTTGAGTGGTAGTCAAAACCGTAGACAATCATTTAACCCCTAAAGGTTTCAGTTTTTCCAACTAGAAAAGGATGAAGTTGGACTAAATGAATTTCTAAGGATTTTTCTGCAATATAATTTTATGATGCTTGTCAATTGTGGCATATCTTAAAAATACACATTTTTACAAATTAAATAAACATTTACTGAGTACTTAACTGTGAAAAGCACATTAACTAGGGAGACATAAAATATGAAAAAGATATGGTTCTTGCTTGCAAGGAACTTAACAATCCTAGTGGAAGATAGACACATATATAACTATTCAAAATATATGGCAGAATTGAGTACATACTAAATAGGAGACAGAAGTTCTTACAGTGGACAACAGAGAAAAAAGAATTAATCCATTTTAGGGGAAATAAATAATTTCTTGAAAAAAAATTTTTTTTTTTTTTTTTTTTTTTTGAGACGGAGTTTCGCTCTTGTTACCCAGGCTGGAGGGCAATGGCGCGATCTCGGCTCACCGCAACCTCCGCCTCCTGGGTTCAGGCAATTCTCCTGCCTCAGCCTCCTGAGTAGCTGGGATTACAGGCACGCGCCACCATGACCAGCTAATTTTTTGTATTTTTAGTAGAGACGGGGTTTCGCCATGTTGACCAGGATGGTCTCGATCTCTTGACCTCGTGATCCACCCGCCTCGGCCTCCCACAGTGCTGGGATTACAGGCTTGAGCCACCGCGCCCGGCCCGAAAAAAAATTTTTTTTTGAGACAGTGTCTTGCTCTGCTGCCCAGGCTGGTCTTGACCTCCTGGCTTCAAATGATCCTCCTGCCTTGGCCTCCCAAAGTGCTAGGAATACAGGTGTAAGCCACCACATCTGGCTGGAAATAAATAATTTCATAAAATGTTGGTATGTAAACAACCTTGAGGCCCAAATTTATTTTCTATTTCTGCTATAGCTGTTGCCTCTAATTACACAGCCACTTTCCTAAATTAATTCTTCATTATCTTTCAATAATACTATTAAAGAATCTGTCAGCAGGTCTCTTCATCTAGTCTTTTTTTTTTGGGACGGAGCTTTGCTCTCGTTGCCCAGACTGGAGTGCAATGGCGCAATCTTGGCTCACTATAATCTCCACCTCCTGGGTTCAAGCGACTCTCATGCCTCAGCCTCCCTAGTAGTTGTGATTACAAGCGTGTACTACCATTCCTGACCAACTTTGTATTTTTAATAGAGATGGGGTTTCTCCATTTTGGTCAGGCTGGTCTTGAACTCCCGGCCTCAGGTGATCCACCTGCCTTGGCCTCCCAAAGTGATGGGATTACAGGCGTGAGCCACCACACCTAGTCCAGTTTTAGCCTTTTTTTTTTAAAAGATGGGGTTTCACCATATTGGTCAGGCTGGCTTCAAACTCCTGACCTCAGGTGATCCGCCCACCTCAGCCTCCCAAAGTGCTGGGATTACAGGCGTGAGCCACCGTGCCCGGCTAAGTTTTAGCCTTTTTTATGATGATAATTGTTTTCTTTTTAGAGATAGGGTCTTACTGTGTCATCCGGACTGGAGTGTGGTGGCTTGATCACAGCTCACTGCAGCCTCCAACTCCTGGGCTCAAGTGATCCTCCCGCCTCAGTTTCCCAAGTAGCTGGGACTATAGATGTGTACCACTACACTTCAGGCCCAGCTCCCACTTTTGGTCTTTAAATAACTTTCTACAGCTCCACTAGTACTACAACGCTAATTCGGACTTGCATTATCTTTCCACAGTGCTATTGCAAGGACTTCCTTGGCAATTTCTCTGCTTCTAATCTTACCCTTCCCTCCAATCCATTCTCTATATAGCCATAGAAGTCATGCCAATCTTCTGTTAAAACTTTTCCAGAACACTTCTTTGCCTACTTTAGGACAAAACCTAAACTCATTAGCATAAGAAAAAAAAATCTTTCATGGTTAGGTGTTGCTTACTGTACTGGGTTGAGTCATATCCCCCCCATAATCAATGTCCACCTAGACAGTATCTGTGAATACAATCCTATTTGGAAACAGTCTTTACAGATGTAATCTGTTTAAGATGAGATTATATTGGATCATAGTGGGCCCTAAAACGAATGACTTCTATCCTTGTAAGAGGAGAGGGCACAGAGTGATAAAGAGACACACAGGGAAGAAGTCTATGTGAAGACAGAGGCAGAGATTAGAGTGATGAGCTACAAGGGAAGGGACACATAGAGCCACCAGAAGCTTAAAGAAGTAAGGAAACATTCTCCTGTAAAGCTTTTGGAGAGAATGTAGTCTTTCCAACACCTTGATTTCGGGCTTTTAGCCTCCAGCTGTGGGAGAATTAATTTCTGCTGTCTTAGGTCACCTAGTTTGTGGTACTTTGTTACAGCAGCCCTAGGAAACTAAGAGATTTACCAGTCCATAACAATAGTTAATTACTTGTGATTCCCCAAACCTGCAATGCTGCTGAGCCTTTGGACATGTTGTACCTTCTGCCTGGAATTCCCTCTTCAGATTTGTGTGCTTGAAAATTCCTATATCTATATCCCATGTTTTTATGTACACATGCCTTTGTGTCTACAATTCATTCTGCCTGAAATTTTTTTCTCCACAATTCCCAAACATCCATTTTTCTCAAATATTTACCTTTTTTTTTTTTTTTTTTGAGACAAGAGTCTTGTTCTGTTGCTGGAGTGCAGTGGTATGATCATAGCTCACTGCAATCTCTGCATCCGGGGATCAGGTGATTCTCCCCTCTCAGCCTCCTAAGTAGCTGGGACTACAGGCACAATGCCACCATGCCCAGCTAATTTTTGTATTTTTAGTAGAGACGGGGTTTTGCCATGTTGCTCAGGCTAGTCTGTAACTCCTGGGCTCAAGCAATCTGCCCACCTCGGCCTCCCAAAATGCTAGGATTACAGGCATAAGCCACTGCACCCGGTGAATATTTACTTTTAATGAATGTCAGCTTCCCTATAAAACCTATTGACTGCCCTCAGCTAGAAGAAGTCTCCTGCTCCTCTGGAATTCCATAGAACTTAATACTTACACTCTATTAGTGTTTATTAGAGCTGCTAGGCCGGGCATGGTGGCTCACACCTGTAATCCCAGCACTTTGGGAGGCCAAGGTGGGTGGATCACCGAGGTTAGGAGTTCCAGACCAGCCTGACTAAACATGGTGAGACCCCTTCGCTACTAAATATACAAAAATTAGCCAGGCCTGGTGGTGTGTGCCTGTAATCCCAGCTACTTGAGAGGCTGAGGCAGGAGAATCGCTTGAACCTGGGAAGCAGAGGTTCCAGTGAGCTGAAATTGAGCCACTGTACTTCAGGCTGGGGGACACAGTGAAATTCTGTCTCAAACAAAAACAAAAACAAAAACAAAAACAAAAACATAGATCTTTACCCCTACTAGTTTGTGAGTGCTTTGAGGATAGAATCAGTGTCTGCTTGATCAGTTGTTATTGTGCTTATCCATAGTAGAGTCTCAATATACTGGATGGTAAAATAAAGGATGATGATAAATGAGTGAATTCATAAATTAATTTAAAACACCACTCTATGGGCTTACCCATATTCTATAAAAGATAAAGAACATTAATAAAAGGACCATGGAATTTTTGTCTGAATTTGTTTTTTTTGTGTGTGTGTATCTAAATTTCTGTAGTGCATAACAAAACCCTTTCTTGGAAAATACTTAGACGATAACACAAGTCAATTTGTCAGAAGTATTGCAGTAAAAATGGAAAAAATGTGAGCCAGAGAATAAGGTTGGCAGGTGTGTTGAGACAGCTGATTGGTATCTAAAGCCTATGAAATAGACACTTTTTTTTTTTTTTTTCTAATATTTTTTAGAGACGGAGTTTCATTCTTGTTTCCCAGTCTGGAGTGCGATGGCGCAATCCCGGCTCACCGCAACCTCCGCCTCCTGGGTTCAGGCAATTCTCCTGCCTCAGCCTCCTGAGTAGCTGGGATTACAGGCACACACCACCATGCCCAGATAATGTTTTGTATTTTTAGTAGAGACAGGGTTTCACCATGTTGACCAGGATGGTCTCGATCTCTTGACCTCGTGATCCACCCGCCTCGGCCTCCCAAAGTGCTGGGATTACAGGTATGAGCCACCGGGCCCAGCAAGAGCCAAATTTCTCTTATCAACACTTAGAGCAAGGGTCCACTAACCTGGGGAGGAGACTGGTACATGTTGGGATTTACCAGAACTCCCAAAGGCTCTTCAGAAGATCTATCCAATTTGGTCAGTGTCTGATTCAAGGTTCCACTGGCAATGGCCTGTATTGTCTCATCTAGTCTGTGATAATAAACCAAAAGGATGCAACAATTGGTAATGTTCTATGCTCAGAATTTCCTTACCACCAACATAAAATGCTTTAATAGTAATAAAATTTGGAATATAAAGAGGAGTCTATGGATGACCTTCCCTACTCCCTACTCTAGCTTCCTGCTCCTCACACCAAAAACCCTAAGGAATATGAGTTAATAAATGTTAGAAAATATGAAGAAAATACACAGGGCACACTACAGTCATTTACCTGCTCAACAAGATCATTAAACATGCCAAGACCAGAAAAGCTGCCTAGAAGCCATGAGTGGTGACTCATGCCTATAGTTCCAACACTATGGTAGGCCAAAGAGGGAGGATTGCTTGAGGCCAGAAGTTCAAGACCAGCCTGGGCAACATAGAGAGACCCTGGGTCTACAAAAAATAAATGATCTGGGTATGGTGGCTCACACGTGTAGTCCTAGCTACTTAGGAGGATGAGATGGGAGGATAGTATGAGCCCAGAAGTTCAACGTGCCACTGCCCTCCAGCTTGGGCAACAGTCAATAAGGCCCTGTCACAAAAAGGAAAAAACAAAAAACTTGCCTAGGAATACCCTGACCCACATAAGAGTGTTCTATGTCAGCTCATCTTCTCAATGCAACCTATACGGTTATTCCTCTGCCTACTCAGCAGTCCCTTCACTCCTTCTTGCTGGTCTTCATTCTATCTTTGCTTGAAGGCTCATAAGCAATAAAGAGGTACCCTACTAGCCCAGCACAAAAATGCTTACTCCTTTCTCTAAGGTCCTATAGTATCTACTATCTAAACAATCATTGGATACATCCCATGTTATCCTGTGCCTATGGTGCTGGCATTGGATACATGGCTCTAAACCTATAAAATAATGATTTTCATTTAAAGATTGTGAAAATCTACTGGTTAGTTGGTAAGAGATCATAAGCCCTGCAGGAACCCTATCTTGTTTCATTCTATAGCTCTACAGTACTTGCTGCGGTATTCAATGCCCCTGTTGGATGCTTGACAAATGTTTGTGGATAACAATAATAATTCTGATGCACAACATAATGAAAATCTTCAACTAACAGGAAAGGCTAAACCTGACCTTCAATTCAATTCAAGATACCTTTGTTAGGAATCTCTTATATGTAAGATAGCTTAACGGGTGTGGAGGACATTGTTTCTGCCTTCAAGAGGCTTTGAATTCAAATGGCAGATTTAAGACAGCTATACAGATGATGAATCATATATGAAAGGATGTAATAATTACTATGAGACAGGCACAATCTGTTTGGTGGTTATTATCCCATCATCCAACATGTTGTATAAAGTAGGTTCAAGGGAAAGTTAAGCATGTGAAAGGCAAAGATTGGGGGAGGAATTTCCAAAACAAGGAAAAATCGGAAAAAAAGGCATGAAGCTTTTAAAAAGTACAAGAATTTGTAGGATGAGGTGAGTCTAAAATAGGGTGGGGACAGTGAGGTCTGAAAGAGAGAAACAGATTTGACACAGTATAGTGATAAGTATATTCAGAACTCTCGAATCTATAAAAGAAATAATTAAAAAGTGATGACTACATTTTTAGAACACTCAAACTTACTAGCATACAACTAAAGCAAAGGAATCTGAATAAAAATTAGAATGAAATACCATTTTTCATGTGTCAGAATGACATCTTGTAAAAATTTTTGACAATGGAAAAGAAAACTGTTATCTTGATAGTTGGTGTGTAGCTGACAAGTCAAACGAATGCACTATTTAAATGTTCTCTTCTAAAAAAATTGCACCTTTTTTGTTTATATATTTATGTTAATAGACTTTTTTTTTTTTTTTCAAGGTGTGGTCTCGCTATGTTGCCCAGGCTGGTCTTGAATTCCTGGCCTCAAGTGATCCTCCCATCTTGGCCTCCCAAAGTGCTGGGATTATAGGTATGAGTCACTGTGCCCAGCCTTAGGCTTTGTTTTTTAAAGCAGTTTCAGATTCACAGCAAAATTGAGAGGAATGTAAAAAGGTTACCCACATCCCCCAAGACCTCCCAAATACATATCCTCCCCCATTATTAGCATCCCTCACCAGAGTGGTACATTTGTAACGACTGATCAACTTCCATTGACAAATCATTATCACTCAAAAGCCATAGTTTACATCAGGGTTCACTCTTGGTATTGTATAATTTATGGGTTTGGACAAATTTATAATGACATGTATTTATCATTATAATTACATACTGAGCAGTTTCACTGCCTTAAAAATCTTCTCTGTGCTCCCTTTATTTATTCCTCCTTCTCTTCTAATCCCTGGAAACTACTAAATAGTTGGAATCATATAGCATGTAGGCTGCACCACTTTAATACTCCAATTCACAGTAAGAGAATATCCCCATTTTCCTATACCTACACAATATGCAATATTATATCTTAAAAAATTTAAGCCAAATTTGATGAGCAAAAAAAATTTGATATATTATGTTTTTCTTCTTTTTTTGAGATGGAGTTTTGCTCTTGTTACCCAGGCTGGAGTGCAATGGCACGATCTCGGCTCACTGCATCCTCCGCCTCCTGGGTTCAGGCAATTCTCCTGCCTCAGCCTCCTGAGTAGCTGGGATTACAGGCACGCGCCGCCATGCCCAGCTAATTTTTTGTAGTTTTAGTAGAGACGGGGATTCACCATGTTGACCAGGATGGTCTCGATCTCTTGACCTCGTGATCCACCCGCCTCGGCCTACCAAAGTGCTGGGATTACAGGCGTGAGCCATTGCGCCCGGCCTGATATGTTTTTAAATCTGAATTTCCTGATTGCTAGTTGAACATCTTTTCAAATGTTATTGGCTATTTGTACTTCCCCAATTGTGTACTGTCTGTTCTTACTTTTTGTCCATTTTTCTGCTGGAGTTTTTGGTCTTTTAATTTGCGAGAGTTCTTACTTATATAGTAGGAATATTGTTTATTTGACTGTTTAACCACTTAAAATATTTTCTTCCCACTTAGTACTGTCTTTTTACTTTATTTAAAATATCTTATATCTTCATGACTTCAAGATTTTGTATCTTGGTTAGGAATAGCTTTATCACACCAAGACTATAATTATATTCTCCTATAAGTCTGTATTTCTTTCTGATCCCTTTATATTGTTCATATTTAACTTTTTTTTTTTTTTTTTTTTTTTTTTTTTTTTT